TGTAATTTTGTACGTATAATTCCTGGGTTTGTTTTGGCACCCAATTCTAAGTTTTAAGGAATTATATTCTTCAGCAAGCTTTTGTACCTTTTGCCCCATTTGGTCAATTCTATTTTTAAGGTGTTCTTTTCTTCACTGAATTTTTTGTGCCTCTCTTTTTCATTTTACCTATTCATCTTTTTAAGAAATTCTTTTCTTCAATGAATTTTTGTGTATATTTTACCCTTAGGCCAATTCTGTTACTTAAGGTGTCATTTTCTTCAATATTTTTTGTGCCTGTTTTACTGTGCTGTTAATTCTCTTTTCATAATTTTCTTACATCACTCTCATTTCTTTTCCCAATTTGTCCTGTACCACTATTATCTACTTCTTTAACTCTTTTAGGAAATCTTGTTCAGATTGTGTCCAATGAACATTTTTTTGAGGCTTTGGTTGTAATTGTTTTAAAGTTGTCGTCTTCTGGTTCTGCTTATTTCACTTTGCATCAGTTCATGTAAGTCTTTCCAGGTTTTTTTCTGAAAGTATCTGGCTTGTCATTTTTTATAGCATAATAGTATTCCATTATACCTCTCCTGGATCAATAGTGGAGAGCCTTGTGTAGCTCAATGAAACTGTACGCTGTATTGTGCAGGGTTGCCCAAGATGGACATGTCATAGTGAAGAGTTCTGACAAAAGGTGAACCACTGGAGAAGGAAATGGCAATTCTAGTATCTTTGCCAACAACAAACAAACAAACCCTTAAGGACAGTATTAAAATGATAAAAGATATGACACCAGAAGATGAGACCCTCAGATTGGAAGGTGTGCAACATGCTACTAGGGAAGAGCAGAGGACAACTACAAGTAGTTCCAGTGGCTGGACCACAATCAAAAGGAAGTTCAGTTGTGGATGTGCCTGGTGACAAAAGGAAAGTCTGATCAATATTGCATAGGAATCTGGAATATAAGATCTATGAACCAAGGTTGGATGAATCCAAATCCAGAACTAAGGCTGCTGGGAGAAATATCAACAGTCTCAGATATACAGATGATACCACTCTGATAGCAGAAAATGAAGAGAAATTAAGAAGCCCTTTGATGAGGGTGAAAGAGGAAATTGTAAAAGTTAGCTTGAAGCTTAACATAAAAAAAAATAAGAACATTGCTACTGGGTCCATCACTTCCTGGCAAAACAGGGAAAAGAAATAGAAGCAGTGTCAGATTTTATGATCTCGGACTCAAAGAAAACTGCAGATGGTGACTGTAGCCATGAAATTAAAAGACACTTGCTCCTTGGAAGGAGAGCTATGGCAAATCTGGACAACATATTAAAAAGCAGAGACATTACCTTGCTGACAAAGGTCCATAAAGTCAAAGCTTTGTTTTGTCCCCAGTAGCAATGTATTGCTGTGAGAGTTGGAGTATAAGAAAGCTGAGCACCACAGAATTTACAATTTCAAATTGTGGTGCTAGAGAAGGCTTTTGAAAGTCCCTGGAAAAATAAAGAGATCAAATCAGTTAAGACTTAAAGAAATTAATTCAGGCTATTTATTCACTGGAAGGTCAAATACTGAAGCTGAAGCTTAAATACTTTGGCCACAATGAGAAGACAGGACTCATTGGAATAGACTGTGATGTTGGGAAATACTGAAGGAAAAGGGAACAGCAGAGGATAGATGGATAGATAGTGTCATGGAAACAATGAAAATGAGCTTGGACAGACTTCCAGAGACAGCTGAAGATGGAAGGGCCTGGTGTGCTGTAGTCCATAGGGTCATGAAGAGTTGGACATGACTGAATGATTGAACAACATTCTGTAACAATCATATACTACATAACATGTTTAGCCATTCCCCAGTTGATGTGTATCCCCTCATTGTCCAATTCTTTGTGAGCACAAAAAGAGCTGCTATAAATATTTTTGCACATATAGGTTCTTTTCCTTTTCTTTTGATCTCTTTGGGACACAGATCTAGCAGTGGTATGGCTGGATCAAAAGTTATGCACAGTTTTATAGCCCTTTGGGCATCATTCCAAATTGCTCTTTAGAATGGTTGAATCAGTTCACAACTCTACCAATATCGTGTCCCAGTTTTCCCACAACCTCTTCCAACATTTATCATTTTCCTCTTCTGTCACATAAGCCAATTTGATAGGTGTGAGGTGGTATCTCAGAGATGTTTTTGTTTGCATTTCTCTTGTCAAAAGTGATTGATAATATTTTTTCATATGACTATAGATAGCTTTGATTTCTTTGTCTTTAGAACTGCCTGTTCATATCCTTTGACCATTTGTCAATAGGGAAATGACTCATATTCTTATAAATGTGACTCAGTTCTTTATTTTATTTGAGAAATGAAGCCTTCATCAGAGAAATGTTTTAAATTTCCTCTCCAGATTTTCTGCTTTCCATCTAAGTTTGGCTGCATTGGTTTTACATGTACAAACCTTTTTTTAATTTAAATAATTAAAATTATCCATGTTATATGTTGTAACACTTTCTATCTCTTGTTTGGTCATAAATTTTTACCTTATCCATAGATCAGACTGGTAAAATATTCTATGCTTAACTAATTTGCTTATGATGACCTTATCTTGGTATATGGTGTGTGATGTTGGCCTATGCCTATTTTCTGCCAAATTGCTTTCCAGTTTTCCCAGCAATTTTTTGTCAAATAATGAGTTCTTGTCCCCAAAGCTTGAATCTCTGTTTTAATCAAATACTACATTACTGTAGTAATTTACTACTTTGTATTATGTACTTAATCTATTCCACTGATCTGCCATTCTATTTCTTAGCCAATACTAGATCATTTTGATGATTACTGCTTTATAGTACAGTTTGAAATCTGGTACTGTGAGGTCACCTTCCTTCGTATTTTTTTCTGTTGATTCCCTTGATATTTTTTATTTTTTTTTCCTTCCAGATGAATTTTTTATTATTTTTTCTATTTCTATAAAATAGTTTTCATAGTTTGATTGGTATGACACTGAATAAGTTAATTAGGTAGAACCATCATTTTTATATATTGGCTTGGCCTGTTCACAGGCAATTAATATTTTTCTAATTATCCAGGTCTGACTTTATTTGTCTGAAAAGTACTTATAGTTTCTGGGTTTGTCTTGGCATGTAGACTTCCAAGTATTTTATATTGACTATAGTTATTTTAAATGGAATTTCTCTTTTTACCTCTTCCTGCTAGACTTTGTTGGTAATATGTAGAAATGTCAATTTAGGGTTTATTTTATATCCTGCAACTTTGCTAAAGTTGTTGATTATTTCAACTAGTTATTTAGTTGATTCTTTAGGGTTCTCTCTTTATCACCTATTCTAATTCCTTCAACTTCTTTTTTTCTTCTCTTATTGCTATAGCTAGCATTTCTAGTGCAATCTGTAATATCTCTCTGGCCAGTTGTCTGACCCCATTACTGCCTCTGGGCTAAGAGCTCCTGAAGTTGCTGCTGTTGCAGCCACTGTTTCTGCCTCCATATGTGTCCAATCCAGGCAGGCCTTTAACCTGGTGTCAAAGATCTGTACTGAGACCTCCTATGTTTTATTAGTCTGGAAAAATGTTTCACCTAGACTTTTTTTTTTTGGCTCTGCCACTTCAAAATTTGATTTGAGATGTTTTTTAAAAGTTATTTGGAGGGAGATGTTGAGAGATTTCAGCTGGAGTACTGCCTCTAATTGGCCGTCTTCAATTATTGTTTCTGAATCCAATTGTGTGCATTTGGATTGGTTACCAAGAGCAGAGGTAAAAAATTAACTTTTGATTAGAAGAAAATATAAATACAAGAAAATTCTATGTGTTATTATAGCAGTTGGTCCTTGATTATTTAAATTAGCTATTAAATGGACAGTGGATGAAGTTTGATGACTCAGGTTATCTTAAAGAATTTAACTTATATAAAACTGTTACCACAAGTATTAAGTTAAAAGAATTAGGCAACTATCTCATCCATCAAACTCTTTGCCAAATTCAGAGACATGACAGCAGAGGATAACATTATTATTAATTTTTAAATTAATTTTCCAAAGCATTACAGAGAAGCACAGAGCAAGAATACAAACAGTAATAACTCACAAAATAGTAGAAAACAATGAAGGGAAAATGAAGCTGCAGAAAGCCCCAGCCAAATGAAAATATCTGAAGAGCATATACAGATGAAGGTGACATTATAAGAATTAGATGCAAAATGGAAAAGATTTCCAGAGTTTTAATAGTGATAATAGGATATCACAGTCTCTGAAGTACAAAAATTGTAGGTAACCCAAACAACAGTGGAAGCAGGATGAGTGTAATTAGGCATTGACATATGATTTATACACCAGAAGGTGCTTCAGAGGCAATATCAAAGAGATTCATTAAGGACATAAGCAGGTAGATTGGTCATATAGTGAGACTGAGGATAAAAGAATAAACAGACCAAATATTTCTGCAGGACCAGCAAAATATCCAAGACCTAGAGATCTCTGGTGAATTTATATAAGGACATGAATAAGAATCATATAGAGTGAGAATGCATGGCATTGCAATCCACACTGGTGGAGGAAGCACTCACATCAACACCATAGATTCAAGGAATTATAGATGTAAAATCAACTCAGTGTGCATAATGTAAAAGTCTTTGAAAACAGGAATATTGTAGAAGTTCTTATGAAGAAAACAAGCTCTGAAATTCTTATAATACTGTGAAGAAGGGTTCTTACAAAGATGGCAGTAATCAAGAGAAAATCAGTTCCTTGTTCTTAATAGATTCTTTGCTTGTTAAGATGACTCTACATACACTTACAGAAGAATGAAGCAAAATAGAAAAAAAATTAAAAATTAAATAGGCAAAAGGAAGTAGGGTTGAGCCATTCACCACTTTAGTCAGTTAACTATCAGATAGTCAAATTGGATTATTCCAATATGGTGTGTTAAAGTTTGCAAAATGCTTTATATATTCTGTCTCATGTTGTGCCTCATAATAGTGTATATGAAGTCAACACTATGGGAATTATCTTTCCTTTTTACAGGTGGGAAAGCTGAGGCTAGAGGAGTTAAGTGACTTGCACATGGTCAAAATAGTAAGTATAAGAAATGGGATTTAAACCCAATTTTCTCTTGGTTTCAAGTTCCATGCTCTTTGTACTATTTGGTATTTCCTCTAAAATCTCCCTAAGTCAAAATTCCTTTGAGTAGGCTTTTGGTCTAAATTATCTGCCCTAGCTGTTCATGTTACCAGTGTAAACAAAGACTTAATGTATTACAGCCTTAATCCCACGCATAATTGTCACCTGCCCCTTAGTAGCTTTTTCATAGAATTGAGTTTATTTGACTTTCTCAAGTGACTGTATCAGTGAGAAAGGTAAATGTGTTTCTGTTTTAAATTTGAGGTTTTATTTCTACATACATGTGCTTTATGATGTAAGTAAAATGAGTCAGTGCCACAATCCTCATTCCACCAATAACTCAATGTATTGTCCTATTAATGCACACAATTCAATACTTTTTAATACTTGTATTGGAACACATGTCACAAAAAGATTATGGCTTTTTTTAAATTCCATTCATCAAATTTATTACTATACTCAAAAGAACTCTAAAGATAGAGCCTTCTACCAAGGGTTGTACTGGCAAATATTTAACAGACAGCTCTACAAAAAGAAAGAAAGAAAAGTGTATGTGTGGCACATTTTAAAGTTTAATAGGCATCATTAACATTTTATCCATTACTTTCTTAAGTCTAGACAATCAACAAAACAATAAATCCAGCCCTGATTTATGGCATTTGCCAATTTTTGAAATATTTTTATCTGGAAAAATTGATCAGTTGGCTCTTGTGAGCCACTTTGATCTAGCTCCAGCATACCTCTTTCCACCATCAAAATAATCTGGTTAATACCCTTTAATAGACATAATTCTATTAATAAAGGATCCTATATCGTAGGTATATTATTCATGATTAGGAAGCTTTCCTGACATCAAGGGAATATTTTCATTTACTTATAACTGATTTCATATCTTGCCTCCATAACAGTCCTATCCCAATGGCTCCTTGTGGTGTAGAAGCAACTGTTAGCTTGGCAAAGTCTAGGCCAACAGAATGAAATGATGGCTCGCATTTAAGAAATCTCATAGAATGCCCCCAAGTCTGTGGGGCATTAAGTCTGTGCATTAAACCCCAAGAATTACTATTAGGCTTATACCCTAAGGAGAAAAAAGAAAGATGAAAAAGCTCCAAATATACAAAAATATTTATAACAGCTCTTCTTGTGGTGGCAAAGAACTGAAAACTTAGGTGATGCCCATCAATTGGGGATGAATAAGCATATTATAGTATGTGAATGTGATGGGATGCTATTATGCTGTTAGAAATGATGAAGGGGATGATTTCAGAGAATTCTGGGAAACCATACATGAACTTATGCAAAGTGAACTAAGCAGAACCAAGAGAACAATTTATACAATAGCAACATTATTGTAAAGACAAAAATTCATGACTTAGGAAGTCTTATCGACACACACTAATCACAATTCCAAAGAACTTATGATAAAAGAAGCTATCCACATCTAGATAGAGAATATTTGTAATGAGTTTTGTTTTGGTTTTTACTTTCTTGATGGAAGAAGAGTGGGACCTGAAAATAAAATAGAATTTAAAAAAAAAGAAAAAGAATTAGCATAGAAAATAGGGTTATAGAAATCTATGACTAGAAAAGGAATTGGGCTTGTCAAGAAGGAGGGATAACAGAAGGTCAACATGAGCATTGGAAGGGTATTCACAAAATAATAAAAGCCCTTTAATACAGTCTTTACCCTTTCCAGAGTATCTGTAGAAAGCCATAGATAAGAATCACACAGAGTAAAAGTGCATGAAAAGGTTACAACCCCGTCTGTATAGTACAAATATTGAGCTTACCTACCAACACTGATGAGATCAGACCCATAGAAGTTTACTTAACACCAGGTGGTGCTATTTATTATTAAGTGATCCTATTCACCAGAAAGGATCAGTGACTGGTTTGATCCACAGTCAGCTTGGTGATTATAGTGCTCTTTCCCAACTGAGTGAAAGTGCTAAGTTCTTCTAGGTTCTCAGAGAACAGTCCACCTTATACCCCAAGTTCTACCTATTCCTGGTTATCCCTGCTGAGGAGAGGGTGTCACTGGTCAGTCAATAAGCATTTGTTAAGAGCATACGATATGTAGGCATTGTGGTAAGCACTGGGGATACAAAGAAAGGCAAAAATAGTACCTGCCCTTGAGGAGTTCACCACAATTAAAGTGAAATAAATTAATTTAAAAAAAATTAAATAGGCAAAGAGAATTAGGATTGAGCCATTAATCACTTTGGTGAGTGAACCATCAGATAGTCAAACTGAATTATTCTGTTAAAATGCTTGACCTTTATATGATGTGTTAAAGTTTGCAAAATGTTTTATATACACTATCTCAGGTTGTGCTTCATAATTAATTATGATCATTTAACACAAACATATTTATGTACATGTATGTAAAACCATACTATGTATACTTCTATTTATCAGTTCTTTCTGTGGAGGTGGATAACATATTCCTTTATAGGTCCTTTGTAGTTGATTTGAATATTTATAATACTCAATAACTTATCCATTCACAATTATTCTTCAAACAATATTGCTATTATTGTATACAATGTTGTCTTGGTTCTGCTCATTTCACTCTTCATTATTTCAACCAAGTCTTCCTATTCTTTCTATAATAAACCTGCTCATCATTCCTTATAGCACAGTAGTGCTCTTTCACAATCATATACCACAACTTGTTTCATCCATTCCTCAACTGATGGGCATCCCCTCAGTGTCCAGTTTTTTTTTTTTTGGCCACCACAAAGAGCTGCTATAAATACTTTAGAACATATGAGGTTTTTTTCTTTTTCCCTGATCACTTTGGGAAACAAACCTAATAGTGCTAATTCTTGGTCAAAGGATATACTCAGTTTTATAATTCTTTGGGCATAATTCCAGATTGCCCTCCAAAATGATTGGATCAGTTCAGAGTTCCACCAAAAATGTATTAATATCCCAATTTTTCCACATTCCCTCCAACATTTGTCATTTTCCTCTTCTGTCATTTTAGCCAATCTGATAGGTGTGAGATTATATCTCAAAGTTGTTTTAATTTGAATTTCTCTAATCAATAATGATTTAGAGAATTTTTTCATATGACTCTATATAACCTTGATTTCTTTATCCAAAAACTGCCTGTTCATATCCTTTGACCATTTATTAATTGGGGAACGACTCATTCTTATAAATTGACAAAGTTCTCTATGTATATTTGAGATATGAGACCTGCATCCAACAAATTATCCATAAAATCCCCCCCCATTTTTTGGTTTCCTTTTAATCTTGGCTACATTGGTTTTATTTGTATAAAATTTTGTAAAATTTAATGTAATCAAAATTATCCATTTTATATCTCACAATGCTCTCTACCTCTTGTTTATTCATAAATTCTTCTCCTATCCACAAGTCTGGTAGGTAATATATTCCATGTTCTTCTAATTTTCTTATGATATCTCCCTTTTATTTAGGTCATGTATCAATTTTGACCTTATCTTGGTAAAGCTTATAAGATATTGATCTATGGTGTAAGGTATTGATCTGTATCCAGTTTCTGCCAGTCTGCTTCCTAGTTTTCCCAATAATTTTCTTTTGTTTTTGTTTGTTTGTTTGCTTGTTTGTTGGCTAGTCAATTGGGGTTAAGTGACTTGCCCAGGGTCTCACAGCTAATAAGTATCAAGTGTCTGAGGCTGAATTTGAACTCAGGTCTTTCTGACTCCAGGGCTGGTGCTCTATTCACTGCACAACTTAGCTGCCATCCAACAATTTTTTTTTTACCAAATAATGAATTCTTTTCCCAAAGACTTTACTATTGTATACTACTTCTTCTTTTACTACTACTATATACTATATATGTATGTGTGTGTGTATATATATATACACACATATATATATACACACTACTATATAAGTATGTGTATATGTGTGTCTACTCTATTCCACTGATCCACCTTTCTATTTCTTAGCCAATGCCAGATAGTTTTGATAATTACCATTATAATTTTGATAATTATAATATACTTATAATACATTTTAAGATCTGGTACTGCTAAAGCTCTTTCATTTACATGGTTTTTATTAATTGCTGTGATATTCTTTACCTTTTCTTCTTCCAAATGAAGTTTATTATTTTTTTCTAGCTCAATATAATATTTTTTTTGGATTATATAATTGGTATGGTATTGAATAAATAGATTAGGTAGAATTATCACTTTTATTATATTGACTTTGCCCATCCATGAATAATTAATATTTCTCCAGTTATTTAAATCTGATTTTATATATACAAAAAGTGTTTTATTATTTTGTTCATGTAGTTTCTGGGTTTGTCTTGGCAGGTATGCTCCCAGGTATTTTATACTGTCTATGGTTATTTTAAATGGGATGTCACTTACTAGCGCTTCTTGAAGGGTTTTGTTGGTGATAAATAGAAATACTGATTATTCATGTGGGTTTATTTTATATCATACTATTTTGCTAAAATCATTAATTGTTTCAACTAGCTTTTGAGTTGAATCTTGAGAATTTCCCAAGTGTATCATCATGTCATCTGCAAAAACAGATAGTTTTATTACCTCATTGCCCATTTTGATTTTCAATTTCTTTTTCTTTTCTTATTATTTTAAGGAAATATCCATTTATGCCTATTCTTTCAAGGGTTTTTAATAGGAATGAGTGTTGTATTTTGTCAAAAGCTTTTTGTGCATCTGTTGATTTAATCATATGGTTTTTGTTACTTTTGTTATTGATATAATCAATTATGTTAATAGTTTTCCTTATGTTAAACCATCCCTACATTCCTGCTATAAATCCAACTTGGTCATAACGTATCATCTTTGCAATATACTATTATAGTCCTGTAGCTAGTATTTTATTTAGTGTTTTTGCATCCATATTCATTAGTAAGAATCATCTATAATTTTCTTTCTCTGTTTTTGCTTTTCTTGGTTTAGGTATCAGTGCCATATTTGTTTCATAAA